TTTCCATTTAATATGTAATTGATTATATCTCCACTTTTATAATTTTCGAATTCAGGGTACAATTTTACATAAGAATTGGCTGTTAAATTTTGTGATACCATGGTACTAATAACTATTAAATAATTCATTTTTATGGAGTACCCTTTTTTATTTTAATAACAAAATCGGAAATATGAATAATTTTTTATTCATTGATGGATTTCGCCTATACCGCAGCGCGGGCCGACAATGCACTGCGACCCCGCTAAAAAAATTTTGCATGCATGATCATTAGGGTGACCGCAACTCATAGGGGGTGGAAAAAAATGTCGGAGTTATTGAGTTAGCCGAAATTTAAGCTCGATTAAACGACGTTAGCCCGTGCCGCTCGTCGCTCAAAGTTTGAAAAAATTCAAATTTTTGGCCAAAAAGCTGACATATGGAGCCATAACTCCAGAACGGTAAATAATAAAAATACGCTTAATATCTTAAAAGAAAGCTAATGTTGTTCTTAAAAATTTGTAATCTATACATAATTGTAGTTATTTTAAGTCAAACCGAGTTACAACAGCCTTTAGCCCCAAAAACATGACCTGGTACCACTAGGAGCATACTTCGTATATTTTGTTATTAAGTGATAAATTTTGCTTTTTTTGGTATATTTTTGAGTTTAAAGTAGAAGTATAATAAAAAAAAACAAGTAATGCTGATAAATCTAATGACATTTTTTATTTTAAAATATAAAAATTAGGTATATAATACATACAAAACAGACACAGAAAAGATACAGACGTAGTAACTACATGAGTTGATTTTACATAGTTATCTAATCTATTCTAGAGCTTTTGTTAAAGTAGTTTTTGAAACGTCAGGATATAATGCTCGGCATTTGCTTACAACTTGCAGGACATATTGCTTTTGGCCTTCATCTTTAGTCAGAAGGTTGTTAAATTCCCTTATTAATTTAACACCACGCTCAGCCATATCATTAACTACCTTTAATGTTTTGACAATTTTCAATCCTTCTTGGAAGTCATTATTTTGAGGCCAGGTGTTTGGATGTTGTCTTAGGAAATCTGTTTTTATATTAAATCGGTTAAAGAATGTAAGTTTCTTTGGTAAGTAAATTTACCAATCCTCCATCAACTACCTCTTTTAACTTTTCTTTCCTAACTTTTGGATTTACAACCCTAGCGTGCTCTGATGGTTCATCTGTGCTACTGACCAATTTATTAGCCATTAACAACTTTTCATCGTCTGTAATGGTGGGATCAAAAAAAGATAATCCCACCAACTCGGTATTCAAATACCTTCTTGGATTTGTCGGTTCATTTTTGCAAGTTCCTTTTGCCCCTTGATTTCTTCAGCTCGAGACAACTTGAGATCCACTCCAGTCATGGAACCTGGGCGGCCCTTCTGCCTCTGTTTCACGAGAAACGCCTTATCTTCTTCCGATTTCATCAGAGCCAAGGCATCTTGCTGAGCAATATCAAAGAGATCATCCAACTTTTCAACGAACTGTTTAAATTTGTTCTTAGCCGTTTCCGATGTTTTCTTCCGGTTCTCCAATCGGCGTAAAGTTTTTCATGTTTAGTCGGAATTCGAGCTTTCTCCCAAAAAATGAACATTTCTCGTATGGCAAGTTTTGCTGATTCTCTTACAGTTAATTTTACAGCACGTAAATTATAAAATAAAACACACAAAACTTGACGATTTAAGGGTAGTTTACAACCGGTGATTTGGTAAATGGGATAGCCCACAAGAAATATTTTACGACTTGTCTAATCGTCCGATCATCGGATGAATAAAATATATTAATCGTCCGGTAATAACGTTAGTTACGTCATAATTATAATCCGCTTTTGTTCACCGACCGTTTAATATTTGACAACAAGCTAGATAGCTTATATGTTAGGGCGTTCGCTTGGCATGCGAGAGGTCCCGGGTTAGATACTAAGAAGCTGTCGAATTTTTTTTATTTTTTTATTTCATAAATTTGTTGTTTCTTTGTTAAACAGTGTTCGGTTGGGTTGGGTTGGTTGGTTTGTTTTAGTTTTATCGTAACATAAAATCTACTAGAAGTTGTCGAACTTTTTTTATTTCATAAATTTGTTGTTGCTTTGTTAAAAAGTGTTTTATTTTTATCGTAAATTTGCCCATTTTAATATTTTAATCGGACGATTAATATATTTTATTCATCCGATAATCGGACGATTTATATATTTTATTCGTCCGATTATACGGACGACTAGCAACGGCCTATTTTATTCATCCGATAATCGGACGATTTATATATTTTATTCGTCCGATTATACGGACGACTAGCAACGGCCTATTTTATTCATCCGATAATCGGACGATTTATATATTTTATTCGTCCGATTATACGGACGACTAGCAATGGCCAATATTTTATCCTTGGTTCGGCTTTGTACACCTGATGTGGATGCCATTATGCTTATGTTTTACGGATAAAATGGCATCCACATCAGGTGGTACCACTCTATAGGCCGTCTTATATTTTCCTAAAAGGATTAATGCAAATAATAATTATTGTATAAATTAAATATAATTACCTACCTGATTTTTTGTTAAGTCCTTAACCTTTATTTAGTAAAATACACACAGTTAAAACTAAATAATAATTTTTGGAGCAAATAGTAAAAATAATTTTAAAGAGCCTTTTGTTTAAATTTAATCTTTTATTATATTGGGATTACCTGATAGTCTGACTATATTTAAAAAAAGGCTCTTTTTGTTTGAAAATTAAGTTCCAAAATAGTTTTTAATAAAAAATGTTAATTCCGAGACACATTTGTAAAAACCCGTAAAACTCTTAGAATACACCCAAACTGGCTCCTAATGCTGTCAGGGCACGTTTTTGGGGTCAAAGGCTGTTGTAACTCTGTTTGACTTAAAATAACAACAATTATGTATAGAATATAAATTTTGAAGAACAACATTAGCTTCCTTTTGAGATATTAAGCGTGTTTTTATTATTCACCGTTCTGGAGTTATGGCTCCATATGTCAGCTTTTTGACCAAAAATTTGGATTTTTTCAAACTTTGAGCGACGAGTGGCACGGGTTAACGTCGTTTAATCGAGCTCAAATTTCGTCTATCTCAATATCTGGAAAGGGGAATCGTTTTGTGGGGTCCAGACGAACAAAATTCCGACATCGATTTTTTACGGTCACCCTAATGATCACTAATCTTGGATTTTAAAATAAAAAACTATAGTTTATACAACCATTGGCTTTGAGCCAGTTGATTTTTAACAATTGTAAATAATAATTGTTACTAAATCGTGCTCTACTTGCTTCCCTTATCTGTGCGCCCCTGTCGGCTAAAATGTATTATGTTATATTAAAATCATAGTATACTAACATGGCCTATAATAATTATTATAGGCGCCATTTTATTATTAGCCTAGGGTAACAAATTGTCTTAATCCGGCCCTGCACCCTGTAGAGTATTTAATTTTAAAATTATTAGGCATAACACTACTTTTCTAAACATGTTGCAACAAAGTACGCAATGTCTCAGAGCTAAATTAATTAATTAATACTAATTAGTAGCATTATTGATACAAGTTAAATGTAATTAAATATTTAATACTTTTTTACCTTTTTGACCTTACCTTTCCTTATTAGGAGCGATGGGAACTTTAAATTTTAATAATGTGTATACGTTTTAGCCAATTAAATCATTATTATAATGGAAATACTTACAATATTTCTGGAAGAATAATTATATGGGATAAAATTTAATTATGGTACAAATTGGTTTATTAATAATAAATTTAAAAAAACTTATTAAAATATGAAAAAAATGTCATAGTTATTCTTCATTGTCCAATAAAAGATGAAATCCAAGAGGGTTCTACATACGAGGTGTGTTCAGAAAATAACGGGAATTGTTAAATTTAGCGGGTTCGGAAGGTCCGGTTGTCATAAAATTTTCTATGATTACAAAATTTCTTTTGGAAAACGGTCCCTTTTCATGCGTTTAGACACAAATAATGGGATTAAGACCAAGGTCTTTGAAATCAGTTTACGAAAATTTGGGGTTTTGTTTTGTATCTATTGTACAAATCTAAAATGCTTAGTCAGGGATATAATTAAAAACAATTAAGATATCATTAGGGACCGGCGTTATTTATTAAAAAAGTATACTTTAAAATATCAGGCTTAAACTAAATTTTTTAAATTAATATTTACAATTAGAAGTACTTACCGCTCTTGATACTTGTCACTGATCTTCTACTAAAATTTTTAACATACCACCACCGGCCATTTAGCGGTGTCACATTTTACTAATATAAGAAGCGCTCGATTTAAATTGGGAGACATATATATATTATATATGATATTATTTTTTTTTATTAAGACTAGCATAAGATTTTCCAAATAAATAAGTCTTATAACGTAAGTTAATAGTTTTTATATTTCTTAAAAATATTTTCAATTAAGGTAATCTACATACAAATATGGAATGTATGTCAAAAAAGGCGACGGGAGACAAGGGACCGTGGTTACGTTTTTTGGGTTGATATATCAGATTTTTAAAACACCCGATATTTATATATAGAAGCTATTAATATTACTAAGCTATTACTGCATATTAAAAACAGTTCATATTAAAGACATTTCATTAGATAAATTGGACAAAAACTTCATATTTAAGTTTTTTGGAGCTAGAGACATGTTTTCTCCCATTACTGAATTTTGTCCCATATAATAAGATCTTTTCTCGAATCTATTGCCATTTGGAGCCCTTCGGACAAAAGGTTTTCGAAATTCTAGGGAACTCTCATGTTAGAGCGAGAAAATAAAAAGATACCTATTGCTTTTTAAAAACACCCTAATAAATATTTGGTTAAAAAGATTATTTATTGATATTTTACTAAATATTTATATATATTTATTTAAAAAAAAAGTTAATAGGTTAATGATCCTTGAAGGGTTTTAAAATTAAAAAAATAAAAACCACTTAAATAATTAATTATAATTAGAGACCGAGTTAAATGCAAAATGTTTGTTAAAATTGTTTTGAAACGAAAATTTTATATTGACAAATTGCGTAAATATCTATTAAGAAAGAATATTTTTTAAAGTGATTCGTGTTAATATTGCAAAAGTTATAAAGTTTATCGGCACAAAAATCCGTTCCAGCAATTTTATTTTATATAAATGATGAAAATAATAGCATTGTAACACAGTTTACAATGTTTACAATTTTATTATTGTCGTTATGCATTCTGACAAACAACGTGCTTACAAATTATATAGAAGATTCAAAACTTGTACTGGTAAAAAATATTCCCTAATACCTACACCAACCAAAATATTTTTTTATAATACATTTTAGAAAGATGTTATTAAACAATATGGTTATCCTTTAGAAGAACACGAAATCATAACGTCGGATGGATACATCCTAACCACCCATAGAATAAAACATGGAAAAAATGGAAACATCACAAATAAAAATCCCATATTATTGGGACATGGTTTGGGCGTGACATCAGAAATATTTTTGGCTTTAGGTAACACATCCTTACCATATTATCTAGCAGATAATGGCTACGACGTTTGGATGATGAATGCTCGAGGGAATTATTTTTCCAGAAATCATACCCATCTTAATCCTGATACTGATAAAAGGTTTTGGAATTTTCGGTAAGAAAAAAATAATCAAATATGGTACGAGGTGTGTTCAGAAAATATCGGGAATTTTCGTTTTTTGAAACAAATATTTATTTATTCGTCTACATTAATGTTGTCGCCTTCAAAATAGTCCCCATTGGATATTATGTACATGTGCCAGCTCTTCTTCCAATACTCGAAACACTTCTAAAACTCGATCTTTGGGATAGCCTTTAGTTCTTTCAGCGATGCGCTTTTAATGTCATCTATGCTTGCAAAACGACGGCCCTTTAAGGTTCGCTTTATTTTTGGGAATAGGGAAAAGTCAGACAGAGGCATGTCTGGCGAATATGGAGGCTGGGGCATCATTACAGTATTGTTTTTGGACAAAAATGTTGTTCAAAATTTAAAAATTTTAGAACAAATGTTGCTGCTACGCGTTTCATACCCAAAACATTCGAAAAAATTTCATGGCATGAGCCAATCGATATACCAACATCATCAGCGACTTCTCTGATGGTTTATAACCATTTCTTACACTTTTTCCATGTTTTTATCGGTTGTTAATGTGCGTGTGCGTTCAGGGCGTTCGTCATCTTCAACGTCTTCACGGCCATCTTGGAAACTCTTATACCACTCAATATAGGCCTTTGATAATATTTCACAGAATTCATTTCATTTTTTAAGCAAAATTGGATACAAATTCTTTGATCCATTTCTTTTAACGAACGAAAAATCGCCGAGCTCATAAAACACGTCTAACCTTAGCGGCTGCCACAGACAAAGTAAACAATGAAAACAGCTAAAGTTTTTATCATACTTCGGGGGCATGTATACCAACATAATAAAGAATATTTTATGACAACCGGACCCTTCGAACACCCATTTTCTGAACACACCTCGTATATTTCCAGTAATTTTATTTCCTGCTTCTTTTACAGTATAGATGAAATAGCTTGTATCGATTTACCAACAAATATTGACTACATTCTGAATATAACAGAAGAAAAAGCTCTATTTTATATCGGGCATTCTCAAGGAACAACAACATTTTTCATGTTGACCAGTGCTATGCCAGAATACAACAAAAAAATTAAACTGAGTGTTAGTATGGGACCTTCTGTGTATTATATATTTAATGAAAATGTATACGACCTTCTTACATTGGGAGGACAATTATTGGTATGTGGTTATTTAGTTTTTTTAGTAATTAACTGCTGGTTGTGGACAATTTAAACTATAATTGACTAAATTTAGGTTTTTTTGTATACATGTAAATTATAGTGTAAAATTAAAGCATCCCAGTAGCACAAAATATATGGCCAATATTGGCATAAAATGATAATTCAATATATAATTACCAATATTTATACAAGGTTGGCTTTATATTGGCGTAAATTGGTTATTCAAGTTGTTAAAAAATGTTTATAATAATAATAATAATTTATTTCCAACTGGAATACACCCAATTTCAGGAAATGTTATTAATAGTACAGTAAAATAAACAATAAACAACGTATCAGATAAATTAAAATCTGCCAAAAAAACATTCAATAATATATGATAGGGGACTATAATAGTGAATATCACTTATGCTATTAAACAAAGGATGATCCTATAAGGACGTCCAGAGGACGTCCATAGGACGACCTTTTGAGATATCCCGGGGATGTCATTTAAGGATGTCCCAGAATGGGATAAAAATAATAATTAATTAAAAAATTAATTTTTAATAAGGATGTGCTTGGACTAGCCTTAATGTCCCAGAATGGGATAAAAATATTAATTAATTAAAAATATAAATTTTATTTCCTTAGATAAAATTAAACATAATTGCTACAAAAAATTCTAAAAGCAAAACTTATTAAGAATGGTTTATATATGGTTGCTATACAATGTATAGCAACCATATATATAGTATATAGTATACATCTCACCACTGCTTACGCACGCTTGATAACTATATATACCGATAGGTTATAAATATCAGTTGGAGATGTGCGTCTGTGATGACACATCTAAACAATGATTCTGCTGATCTGCTAAGTAACAAATAATGGCTAAGTTAATCTAGTAAGTTTGAGTGCAGAGGATTTCTTCAGGATCTACATAACCCAAGTACAAACAACTTCGGGCCAATGTTGGGTTTCAATATTGGACCATGCTAGAAAAAATCTGACGAAAGATATTTTGGCCCAATATAATCAAACGAATATTGGTACAATGCTGGATTTTAATAGTGGTTATATAATGTAAAACAACTTCGGGCCAATGCGGATTTCCAATATCGGTTATATAATGTCAAACAACTTCGGGCCAATGTCGGGTTTCAATATTGGACCATGCTAGAAAAAATCTGACGAAAGATATTTTGGCCCAATATCATCAAACGAATATTTGGTCAATGTTTTTGTGCTACTGGGGATCACTTTTTTGAAGTAAAATATTCTAGAAAGTTCTCCTTTGGATATTTTGTAGCCTAAAGTTTACTTAACAGGTTCGCCAAAGGGCGTCAACGTTGGTGAAGTAGTTTCTGAAATGCCACCTTTAATTAAGATTTTTTATAATACACAAATACATAACATTTCACTGGACCACTTTATTAACTTAATTAACAAATTTGGTAAAGCAAAAAATTCGTTGAAAAAATTGTTTTTAAACTAACAAACATCAGTCGACAAATCGACTTTATCTTCAGTAATGTACTTGATGTGGATAGTTCGTTATTTCTGTGCTTTTATTTTCATTTGATTCGATAAAAATGGTTTATTCTTGTACGAGCCTTCTTCTCGTTCATATGTTACCTTGTGCCAGTGGACTGTATTTAATTGAAATAATATCTTGATTGCAAACTGGTTTTATTCACTAATTTACATTAAAAAACTAAAAAAATTAAAATAGCGTCTATCTGCCATTTTCTTGATTGCTTTCTTCTTCTTCTTCTTAAAAAACGCCTCCCTTCTGTCAAGTGACTTCGCGCGGTAAATTTGAATAAACTGTTTTTATATCCAACATCCCGGCCGCCTTGAAATGTCTATTTCGAACACAAAAAAAATGTTTTTGAAACACATAATGTCACTAAATTGTCCTTTCAATTGGAAGTAGACAAAGTTTGGAAATACTACGTTTTGTAGTTGCACCATCACTAAACTTTATACCAGCAACTCTGGTTACGTTATCTGCACCTGGATATAGTTCGGTAACTCTAGCAGTTTTCCATTTTAATGGAGGAAGATTGTCTTCTTTGACCAATACGAGGTCACCGATTTTCAGTTTCGTCCAACCGTCTTGAAACCACTTTTGTCTTAATTGTAACTCCGTCAGGTACTCCTTAGACCACCTCTGCCAGAAATGCTGCATAATTTGTTGTAGTTTCTTGAATTGTGTCAGCCGATTTTCAGGTAAGTGAGTCAAATAAGGTTCGGGAATGGAGTTTAAAGGTCTACCAATAAGGAAATGGCCCGGACTGAGAGGAACATAGTCGCTTGCATTGGAAGACATTGGAGAGAGAGGTCTGGAATTCAGTATTCCTTCAATCTGTGTCAAAACTGTCATAAAGTCTTCATAATGTAGACTATGATTACCAATTACTTTTTTCAAATGACTCTTACAACTCTTAACCCCACTTTCCCAAAGTCCGCCAAAATTAGGAGCTCTGGGTGGTATAAAATGAAACTTTACACCTTTTGAAGCCAGCTTAGACTCAATTTCTGGAGACCTTGACTTTAAAAACTTCAAAATCTCTGAATTGGCTCCGACAAAAGTAGTGCCATTGTCGCAGTAAAAATCATTAGGTTTACCCCGCCTAGCAATAAACCTTCTAAACGCAGCCAAAAAAGCTTCACTTGTCAAATCCGTCACGAGTTCAAGGTGCACAGCCTTTACGGTCATACAAATAAAAATACACACATAAGCCTTAATCAACTTTGGATTTCGAGTCTTGCGGTCCTTAAGTAAGAAAGGACCTGCATAGTCGCAACCAGTATTAACAAAGGGAATAAATGGATTTACTCTATAGTGAGGTAAGTTACCCATTAAGTAATCCAATGGTTTTGGCTTTACCTTAAAGCAGGAACACACTTGTGTACAACCGCTCGTGCAATACTTCGACCCGAAATTGCCCAATATTTTTGTCTAACATTATATAGAAGTTGTTGAGGCCCACAATGCAAGGAAATTTTGTGGTAATATTCAAATATTAACTTGGTAAGACTATGTTTATTATGTAAAATAATAGGAAATTTCTGACCATAATCAATGTCCGCATTTTGGATTCTACCCCCAACTCTCAACAAGTCAAATTGATCCACAAACGGATTTAACGAAATAATATTACTAGATTTACTTATCGGTTTCTTGTCTAAGAGGTCAAAATAAGTCTGCTTGAATGATTGAATTTGGGAAATTCTTATTAACTTTTGTAAACTAAAGTCTAACTCTTGTGCTGTCAATACTGTACTGAAAATTTTATTTCTTTGAAGTATTTTTGCTCTACAATTGTTAATAAACCGGTAAATATATCCCGCAACTCTTTGTAACTTTGTCAATACTGAATATTTATCAAATAAATTGAATTCTTGGATCTGGTTGATGATATTAATAGTTGCAATATTGGTCACCAATCTTTGCTCTGGCAACATTGCCATATTATTTTCGTCAATAGTCTGAAATGGTAATACATCAGATTCAAGCCACGATGGACCCTTAAACCATAACTGATTTGAAAGTAAATTCAACGCAGTGCTTCCACGAGACACAATATCTGCTGGATTGTGCTCCGTGCCAACATGGAACCAATTGTCAGGATTTGACAACGATTGTATTTCTATAACCCTATTCTTTACGAAAGGCTTCCATCTATCTGCGGTACCCTTTATCCAACATAAAGCTATGGTGGAATCGCTCCAATAATAAATATTATCAAACTTGACATTGATCGAATCTAAAACTTTTTTAACTAACCTTGCCGCTATCAGCGCCGCGGTCAACTCAAGTCTTGGTAGTGTCGGTGTATTGGTAGGAGCTACTTTGCCCTTTGCACACAACAAATGAGAAGAATAAGTTTTATTAAAATCAACGCAACGTACATAAATAGCCGCACCGTATGCCTTTTCGGAAGCATCGGCAAATGCATGTAACTCAACGCATTTATAATTATCCAAAAAAATATGTCTTGAAATCTGTAAATCATTTAAATGTTTCATATCTAAACAAAAACTATTCCACGTTTCTCGTAAAGTATTGGAAACTTCACAATCCCAGTCAGATTTTTCTTTCCAAAGACTTTGAATAATTAACTTTGCAACAACAATAACCGGTTGAACTAGCCCCAACGGATCAAATATTTGACTTGATATCGACAAAATTTTGCGTTTTGTCACAGAAGATTGATCAGTAAATTCTCTAATCCTGTACTGGATACTATCAGTATAAGCATTCCAGTAAACGCCTAACGTTTTATTTTACTCATTTTCACCTAGCTGCAAAATACTAGCCTTTAAGTCTTGATTTATTTGAAAATTTTGCGAAAAATCTCTTTTGTTTGATAGCCACTTGCGTAAATCAAAACCTGCACTACCCAAGATTTTCGTAATTTCGCGTTGTATTGTAATTAACTCAGTCTCGTCATTACTACCTGTCAAAAGATCGTCCATGTAAAAATCTGTATTTATAATACGCGCCGCTACTGGGTAATCAACTGCGTGCTCATCAGCCACCTGCTGTAGGCATCGCACTGCCAAAAATGGACTTGAAGCCATGCCATAAACTACTGTATTCAATTCAAAACATTGAATGTCACCAATGTCTGAACGCCAAAGTATACGCTGATACGGTCTATGATCTGGGTGTATAAGAATCTGACGGTACATCTTTGAAACATCGGCATTAAGAACGTACTTGTGTTTACGAAAACGAGTCAAAATTGCAATCAAATCATTCTGAATCGTCGGCCCTGTATATTGAACGTCATTTAAGCTTAAACCGCCCGTGGTCTTACTTGATGCATTAAAAACTACACGTAACCGACATGTCAAACTGGAATCTTTAATTACCGCATGGTGCGGTAAATAGTAACATTCGTTGTCTTTACTATTACGCCACGATTCATTTTTTAGTTCCGACATATGTCCAAGTGATTCATATTCCGAAACAAATTCTGAATTCTGAATATTCCTTTGCTA